TTATTCTAGCACTTTGTGAAAACTTTTGAAAATTTCTAAATTTGCAAGAAAATAATGCCACAATCGTCCAATACAAAATGGGTTGAGCCCCAGAACAAGACTAATTATTTGTATGATCAATTTACAAGTGCTGGAACAACCTATATTGTAAGCATTAATTCAGGCGGCAAAAATAATTCTCTTACCTCTTCTGCTACCGGGCGAACGTGATCGAGAACGATACCTCCCAACTCTTTCAGGAGTTCTACGACGTTCTTTTCTATCACGTTCCCGATACCTATCCCTATCCCGGTCTCTTAATGGAGATCTCGATCTTCTCTCTCGACGATCATATTTATCTCTATCTCTTCCAATTGGTGAACGAGATCTACGACGCTCATAATAAGGATCTTCCACAGGTCGATCTAAGTCACGGTAGGTCTCAGAAAGAGGGTCTCGATCGCGGGCATATACATCCCTTTCTCTATAATCTGAACGTGAAATATGTCGACGTGAGTAATCAGAACGAGGACTAGGAGTACGTGGCATCTTTCTATTTTATTTTTTTTTGTTGGAACGTTAGTAGTGTTATTAAGAATTTAGCTAAAACAATTTACAAAAGTTGTGTAAAATGTTATTTGGCCGGGTCACATGCAGATTGGATCAGCACAAACAATTGGCCAATATTAGCTGTTGGGTTACATCTTTGTACAAAATAATCAATTACTTACTGCCTAACCTTTCATAATGCAAAAGACTACAGGCGATTATTTTAGTCGTTCATCTTTACACTTAAGATATTTAAATTTAAAATACTATATAAGACGATATTAAAAAATTTTTTATTTTTTATTTTTCTCGAATATTTGGGTTTAAGTTCGCACATCCAAAAAATTAAAATCAATATTGAATTAGAGATAGTTATAGATACCAAAATCTTACTAAAATATACAGTAACGGTTGACTTTTAAATAATAAAGAAATCAAATGGGTGTCGCAATAAAAATCAAATTTATTAAAAATCTGCCTAATTTCTATTGACGGTTAGGGATGTTAAGAAGTTCATTTAATTCCATTTACTATATTTTTGCTTGAGTAATTTACTATATATAAATGCATTAATTGATAATCTTTAAGATAGCAGATATATTCATTAATTTAAATATATACATAATTTATATCAAAATATATACTTTATTTTAATACATTTACTGTAGATATACCAAATATCTATATATATATATATATATGTATGTAATAAAGATCAATCCAAAACTTATTGTACCAACAAAACCTGGGCCTTTACGAGATTCTAACTATATTAAATGCATCATTAGAAATAAAATAAATTATTGGACACATATATATTATGATTTAACTAGTTCGTAATCCTATAATTGGATTTCTAAACTAGTTTTATAAATTAAGTTTATAAACTAGATTTATAAACCAAGTTTATAAACTAGGTTATGAAACTAGTTTAAGAACTTCTAGTTAATTTTTCTTTAAACAAACTACTAAAAGAACTAGTTTGAACTAAGCTTAAAACCAGTTTATCTGAACTACTTAATATCCTTATCCCTTAAATTGTTTTGCAGCCAAATTTGCCTGTAAAATTTTTTAAAATATAAATTTTTTTAATAAAATTTTAAATATTGATTTTAGCTATATATTTTCTAAGTAAAATAT